TCAAGTTCTGTAAACAAGGGATTTTCCAAGGGAAAATTGTTGAACTTACTTTTGTGATTGAATCATTAATTCAAGCCAAATATTAATCAAATAGGAACAATTTCACTCAAAGTATACCTAGACACAGCAGAACTATTGTCGTGAAAGTGTTGTACAATCGATTACAAATTTAGATTTCAGAGAGTTTGTTCTGAGTGCTAACGGCACTCATGATAGAGCACATTTTGCTTTATTCTAACATTCAATCACAAAAGGCAAAAAAACAAATTTACGTCAACAACAGCACTGCCGTATCTACAAAGGAGTGAGTGATTCGTTGACAATGGGATGTTCTTCATCCGGTGGTGGAAGAGGACGTGTGACTCCTCAGAGAGTCAAGAGAACTCGATTTCAACAGTTGTGAAACATCTATTTTCAACAAAAGATGAAAAGGATGTAAGGCAAGATCATTGTACAAAGATGCCAAGGAAAGAGTGATTGACTACATCCAAGCTTCTGGAATGAAATGTTCCAAAGACATGGTGAAATCAATTCAAGATGGAAAGTCGATCGACTTCAATGCGATCGCTCCAAGATTGAACGCTCCAACTCAAACTGAAGCTGTTGCAAGAGAAACAGAGATGGCCCAAAACAAGATTCTCTATTCTGCAAAGCTCGACGAAAACATGCAAAGATCAGCAAACAAGAGAACTGTCAAATCAAACATCATGCTGAAGTTTGTGACAAAGGCGATGGATATCAAGCTTCAAGGTGAAGCCGACTTCACGACTACTCTTGAAGATCCTATTGAACTCTTGAAACGTATTGAACGATTCATGAAGAAGAGTGCTGATGCTGAGTATGATTTCTTGGATTTCTGGGAAGCAAATCAAAAGTTCTTTGCTATGAAGCAAGGAACAACCAAAAACTTGATGCATTTCAAGGAACGATTCTTGAGACAGGCTGAAGTCCTGCAAGATCTATATGGCGTGGCCTGGTTCCAAGATTTTGCAGTCAAGACGAAAGCGTATGCTGCTATTGCTAGCACCGATACTGCTGCTCAAAACAAGTTCAAGGATGATGTCTTTGAAGCCGTTCTTGCAACAGGATTTCTATGCAACAGTGATTGAACGAGAACAGCTCCTCTGATGCTTGATCTTCAGACAAATTATTGCAGAGAAGTGGATTATTATCCAAAGACAATCAGCGAAGCACAAGATATGTTGAAAATTCACATGGAAGTGAGTAAAAATCCGGGAGTGAACCTATACCAAGGAAAAGACCAACCTAATAAAGGTAAAGGTAAAGGTAAAGGTAAAGGAAAAGGTAAAGGTAAAGGAAAGGGGAAACCAAAGGATGGAAAGAAGGCAGCATGTTATGTATGTGGCAACAAAGACCATATGTCTCCAAAATGCCCAGACAGACTGCTACCAAAGACCCAATGGAAGAATTAGGATCAATATGTTGACTATGGGAAGAAGCTCAATCTTAATCAGATTGGAGCAACTGTCCCAGCTACTGTTCCAGCTACAGTTCCTAGAGCTTCAGCGTCCACAAGTGGAGCATCAAGTGTTGCGGGAAGCGTTAACACACCTTTGCGACTTGCTGGTCTACAGGTAATCAAATGATGCAAGTTCCTTCTGGAATGCAGCTCATGCAGATTCCAACTGAAGGTGGCGGCACTGTTACTGTCCCTTATTCTATGAATGCTAACGGTGAGATTGCGTTCAGTGGAATGCAACTCAGCCAACAAGGCTTCAGTGGTGCTCAAGTGCGCCAAGGATTCGATGCAACTCA